TGGAAAAGGCTCGTGATAGGGGCTTCTTGCAGTTCTTGATGAACACAGAGTTCCATGAGTCTGGCCCTGGGGCAGAGTGCATGGGCATGTCATTTATCGCCTGTTCGAAGTCATTTGGCGTCAGGATAACATCGGATAGGCTTGTGTTAATCAAATTTTGTGGCTCTCTCATAAAAAATTCATTTTGATCTTCGACTCTCAGTCTGGTTAGCGGCTTGCTAAAAACTGAGTCATATTGGGACTTGAGTAGCTCACTCATTTCCTTGCTGTCATCTGTGTGGGACCCATCTTGTTTAAGTAGGGGCCCAATACTGGACGTTGTTCTCGATTTTGATTTGGCATAGGAGAAGAAATACTTTGGGTTTCTTTCGATTTCATTTATGGCTTTTAGTTCTTCCCGCGATTCCTGACTCCTAAAGGATTCTTTTAGCTTAAGTTCGATGCTTGCTATTTCTCTGACCAGTGTCTCCCTGCGCATTTCAGATATATTGACCTCTTTTAGCCGCTCTGTTATTCTTTTCCGTCGCCTGTAAAGGGAGCGCCTGTCTCTTTCTATTTTACATCTACTCCTCCTTTTTCTTAGAGGAATAAGCCTTGTGCATACATCGAGTGCCACCGAGTTAATCTGTTCTAGGCATAAGTTTGCAAAGATGGCTTGTTTCAGCTTGCTCAGGGTGGTAATTCTGCACAAACATTTGGACACCATTCCACTTGGCACAAATCTCCTTAATCTTTGAAGAAGGCACCTCATCCACTCCCTCTTCCTCCTCCTCTGAAGCAAGTTCCTCAGCTGTGGTCTGATACTGCTCCAGATGAAGCACTTGCAGCTCTTCAGCTTTTCCCTGTGGTCCTCCACCAACTCTTCCACATCCTCACCACTCACCTCCAACCCCAGGGTGTTCCCCAATGCCACAATAGAGTCCACAACAGGCAGAGGGTGAGTTGGGCCAGGGTCAGGGTTAGCCTCAAACCCTTCAAAATCCCTCTTTTGGACACAATCTGGCCACAATTGTCTCCAAGCAGAGTTCAAAGTCCTGGAAGTCACTCCCTCCCAAGCCTCACCTATAAGGCTTATGGAGCTGTAGATGTTGAAGTGATTCCTCCAGAACTCTCTTAGGGTCAACTTAGTGTCTGTGGTCACTTCAAAGCACTTTTCAAACACTGCTTTTGTGTAGAGTTTTTTGAAGTTAGAAATGACCTGCTGGTCCATGGGCTGGAGGAGAGGAGTGGTGTTAGGAGGCAAGAACTTCACTTTTATAAAACTGAAGTCCTTAGACAAGAGGTCTAATAAGTTTGGAGGAGGAGCAGGAGCATTGTCCATTAACAGAAGGCACTTGAGTTGCAATTTCTTTTCCTGGAGGTATTTTTTCACACTGGGGCCAAACACTTCATGGACCCACTCTTTGAAAATTTGTCTTGTGACCCATGCCTTATGATTAGCTTTCCACAAGACACTTAACTTGTTCTTAAAGACATTGTTTTTCTTAAACACTCTGGGATTTTCTGAATGATACACAAGTAAAGGCTTCACTTTAAAATCACCACTAGCATTAGTGCAGAACAAAAGAGTAAGCCTGTCTTTCATAGGCTTGTGTCCTGGCAGTGCCTTTTTCTCCTGTGTGATGAAGGTCCTTTTTGTCAGTGATATTTATGCATCGGCGATTTTGCCAATTTTGAATCCCAATTTAGGACAATTACATTATTCCAGTCAACCAAATTCTTAGCTATTTCACTAGTATTACTTCTATTCTATCGATTGAGCACAAGAAATCGCCAAATGAACTGTTTCAACTACAAAATAAAGTGATCAGAAATTGGTAATTTGGCCAATTTAATGCAAAGTTCAAAATATTCTAATTTTGAAATAGGGTTCAGAATAAACAATGCAGGCATTCCTGGCACTTAACTAACATTTCCTCTGTTCATTAGTTATGTTTTCAGGCTTTACAAATGAATTCCATTTTGATTATTTATTCACATAATGAATTTTTATTCAAACCAAAAAATAGAAGATTTACTGTTATGCAATATTGTAATACAGTGGACCCCCGCATACCGTTGGCATCACATAATGTTAAATCCGCATAGTGATACATTTTATCACTAAAATTTTGCCTCGCATAGCGCTAAAAAACTCGCTCAACACTATTCGTCCAAGACGCGTCTATGTGAGGCCTGAGCCAGCCTCACATGTTCCGCCGGTGGCATTGTTTACAAGCCAGCCTCCGCGGTAACATCCAAGCATACAATCGGAACATTTCGTATTATAGCAGCGTTTTTGGTGATTTTATCTGCAAAATAAGTGACCATGGGCCCCAAGAAAGCTTCTAGTGCCAACCCTGTGGTAAAAAGGGTGAGAAATATTATCGAAATACTGTGGTACCATGGTCAACTGCTGATGCTGCTGCTGCTGTAGCACTGTCAGCTGCTGCTGCTGCTGCTGTAGCCCCGTCAGCTGCTGCTGTAGCACCGTCAGCTGCTGCTGCTGCTGTAGCACCATCTGCTGCTGCTGTAGCACTGTCAGCTGCTGCTGTAGCACCGTCAGCTGCTGCTGCTGCTGTACCACCATCAGCTGCTGCTGCTGCTGTACCACCATCAGCTGCTGCTGCTGCTGTAGTACCGTCTGCTGCTGCTGTAGCACCGTCTGCTGCTGCTGTAGCACTGTCAGCTGCTGCTGCTGCTGTAGCACCGTCAGCTGCTGGCTGCTGCTGCTGCTGTACCACCGTCAGCTGCTGCTGCTGCTGCTGTAGTACCGTCTGCTGCTGCTGTAGCACCGTCTGCTGCTGCTGTAGCACTGTCAGCTGCTGCTGTAGCACTGTCAGCTGCTGCTGTAGCACTGTCAGCTGCTGCTGCTGCCGTTGTTGGTGTGGCTTATTGAGAATACCAAGAAACAATTAACCCCAGAGGGTTAGCCACCCAGGATAACCCAAAAAAGTCAGTGTCATCGAAGACTGTCTAACTTATTTCCATTGGGGTCCTTAATCTTGTCTCCTAGGATGCAACCCACACCAGTCGACTAACACCCAGGTGAACAGGGAAAAATGCCTGGAACTAGTGCTCATATTGGTGAATTTAAAGCCAGCAAAGGTTGGTTTGAGACATTTAAGAATCGTAGTGGCATACACAGTGTGATAAGGCCTGTTCTGGAAGAAAATGCCGAACAGGACCTACAGTACTCAGGAGGAAAAGGCACTCCCAGGACACAGTGTCTCATCAGTCATTGCTGCATCTTCAATAAAGGTAAGTGTCATTTATTCTTCATTTTGTAGAGTAGTACATGCACAATATATATTGTGCATGTACTACTCTACAAAATGTGCATGTATCCTTCTCTTTGTGTGTAGGAAAATGTATATTTCATGTGGTAAAATTTTTTTTTTCATACTTTTGGGTGTCTTGCACGGATTAATTTGATTTCCATTATTTCTTATGGGAAAAATTCATTCGCATAACGATAATTTCGCATAACAATGAGCTCTCAGGAACGGATTAATATCGTTATGCGGGGGTCCACTGTAATTGTATAAATAATATCACCACATTTGTGAATGTATATTAGACCCACCAGTTGGCGTGTATTAGACGTGTGAGATCATTTGTTTACTCTTGAACATCGGCAAAAATTAAACATTTCTGCTATTTTGAGCTCAGTTTCAACCCATTTCCATTACTAAAACCAATCAAAATCATCTCTATTTCTATAATATATCTTCCATTCTATCAAATGAGACCAAGAAATCGCAAATATAACTATAAAAAACATATGAAAAACACTGCAAAGTCACTGTTTTAATCGAAAATTACGGTCTCAGTTTTTTTTTTCTCTCATTATGCACTGTGTGCTGCAGGATTTGTTTTATGTAGTGCACACATACCATATAGATGTATTCTCTCATATCTAGGCCCAACTTTACCGCTCACAGCTTATCAGAGTGAGCTGAGCTCATGGGGTAGACCTACGGTTTGGACCCTCAACGTAAAGCCGTAGATCTACGGCACGGACCCTGAAAGGGTTAAGTGACCACCTGTGGGGCTTTGGCTGGTGACCTGGTTAAAGATTATCACAAATGAAAGTTGACCAACTAGTGTAGATGACTAACACCACAACATTTTAAATAACAAAAAAAGGCACAATACCGTGACTGGAATGATACACAAATAGCCTGCTCATAGAAGAGAGGAGATTACGATGACATTTCGGTCTGACTTGGACCATTTACAAAGTCTCACACTGTGACTTTGTAAATGGTCCAAGTCAGACCAAAATGTCGTCGTAATCTCCTCTCTTCTATGTGCGGGCTATTTGTGTACTACAACATTTTCTACAAGTTGCCCAACTATTATATATTCTTTGCACAGAAAGCAGATCAAGTGCTACATGTATAAATAGAAGACTAAAACACCTGCAGTAAGAAGTGAATCATTTATGGTTGAATTGTTTGTAAATCTAGCTCTGTCCAGGAGTTTTTTTTATGTTGCATGTATTGTACAGTCAAAACCTGAAATTTGTGGGGTTGCATTTCTGGAGGCTCTGCAAATTTAGATACAGGAAGAATATAAAACTAAGTCTGACCAGTTTCAAGGTCTCTGAGTAATTCCTCACAACCCAGCCTTAGGCCAGACTTTCTGGTTAATATTGACATTCAGAAAAAAAAAAATCGTCACTAAGAGTATGTTTAAAATGAAATCATTTGGTTAGCTTTCATTTTAATAATCATGCCCTAAGCCATGGAAAAATGAGTATCATGAAAACATTGCAAATAATTGAAAATATTTGAGGGATGCCCTTCAGGAAAAGTGTTGGGTGACTGAAAGCTACAAATTAGGAAGCTTATGAATTTGAGAGTTTGACAATATGTACCTTGAGCTACAGTGTCTCATTGTACTTGTGTAGGGTAGTTTCCTTAGTGAATAAACTGTGAGAGAGTGATACAAAAATAAAGGTAGATGATTTTATTCAAGTGCTCATGGCAGATGGTGATAAAATCTTATTTTCCCAGGTATTGATATCATCAAGTAGTTATGCACAACCTTGTACTGAATGACCACACCAGCAAGGAGATCTGTGTAACTTCCCCGGGGCTGTTATGTGTAGATGCTGTTACTGGCTCTATCTATCATGTCAACACAGAAGGAGTTCAGTTTGTAAAGACTGTGAGTGCATTTACTTTTATTGTTTGTATGATAGCCGCTGACGTGTTTAAATTTTTTTCAATGCAATATTACTTTTTTTATATTTATTGTATGTTATCATGTATATTTTTAGATTTTGTGTGAATATACTTTTTTACAAATGTCACATTTATTAGTGAGATAAATTTATTTTGTTACTCTTGTAATTAACCAGAAATAATTACCGTATTGTATGCTTTTTTATTTTTTCTTTGCAGGATTTTTCAATGCATATAATATTTAAAAAACTAATATTATGTCCAATTAACTATCCTGTAATAAGGGGATACCTTATGAGTTTCACCATTTATGCAGTATATACTCTATTTTTTTTTCTGCTTTATGGTAGGTGTGTGATAGCATGCAAATTTTACTTTGAATTGAGTTCAAACTTTTAATGATAGTGTACAGGAGGGCCCTGTATATACAACTCCCTCTTTTCGACATTCCATGTTTTTGTTGACTTTCAATTGAGCCATTGTTGATGATGTTCAGTGCTTTTTCCGGTTTTCTGCCAATATTGCGATTTTTGTGCAACAGATACATAAGAGAAGGAGGACCAGTGCTGTATTTTAAGGTAAGTATTGTATATACTGTGTATTTTTTTTTTTATCTTTTTTTTAAGCCTAGCTGTATTGAGCACTTAATAATTGATAGGTATTTTAGAATCATTTGATGATAAAAGAATGTCTCTTTTTCTATCTGCTGGCTATTTTTGCTTATCGTATGGGGTTGCGAACCTTAGAGCCATATTTACGGGGCCCTCCTGTACTGGGGGGGCCAGTGAAAAAGGTTGAAAATGCAGTGGGATGACCCAAAACAATTCTATTACAATATCTTTTTCAGAGTGGCATAGCACTGTATTGATCATGTTCAATTCTAGTAGAATCCATGACACACTAAATTTTGGTCTCAGTGGACACAGTGAGGAGCCTCTCTCATGACCAGTTAACAAGTACCATAGCACATGTGACACTTCACAGCACAGTTACCAAGTATCACAGTACATGTGACACTTCACAGTGCACATAACAAGTACCACAGCACATGTAACACTGCACAACACAGTTAACAAATACCAAGGTACATGTGACACTTCACAACACACTTAACAAATGCCATAGCATATTTGACACTTCCTGAAATGACCCCTACCCATCCTTCCATCCACCTTATATTTATATACTCTCCTAGTCATCCTATTATGCTCCATTCTCTATAAATTTGCAGCAAGCCCTCAGCATAACAAACTATGAGTGGGGATTGGTTCTTCTCTCCCATTCCTTGAATCATATCTTATTTTTTTCTCATTCTCCAGGCCTTATAGACAATTCCCAATCATAATAATATGTAATAATTTTTTTAACATGCTGGCCTTCTCACATTGAGGCAGGGTGACCTGATAGAAACACTTTCACCATCACTTACACCATCACTGTCTTAGCAAAGGCATTCTGTCTTCCGACTTAACCAAGGTGCATGGTTACACTAACTTAACCCTTTCACTGTTGGTGCCGTAGTAGTATGGATTGCAAGTCAGTGTTGATGCCGTAGTACTACCCCAAAATTCTAGCGGTTTCAAATCTATCAGGGAAAGCTGGTAGATCTACATATGAGAAAATGGGTCTGTGTGCTCAGTGTTAGCAGTATAAAAAAAAATCAGGGAGCCAGTGATGCATTATGGGAATGTCACTTCAGTAGTCCTTGTTCACCATGCCAGGTGGTAATAAATACCTGACTCCCCAGCGAATTTGGGACTCTTCTCTTCTCAAGTGATAGTTCTAACACAGATGGAATTGTCAGTGAAGATGAATTTCATGGTTTTGAGGAGTTTGTGACAGAAAGCAATGCCCAGGATACCAGATACATTAAGTGAAATGGGAAGACAGCTTAGGTGGTGGGGAAGGCAGCTTGGATGGTGGGGAAGATGGTGTAGGTGGTGGTGAAGACAATGTGTAAGTTTATTCAGGTATACATGAATACAGTTACATAGATTATCATACATAGCAGCAGTGGTGGCTCAGCGCCAGTAATACCTGTACTATCGTATCGCATCAGACTTCTATTTTTAATCATTTTTATCTCGTTTCAATAAAAAAAATAAAAAATTCGCTTGTAAGTACATAGAAAGCAACATACAACAGATTTTTCCTATAATATATTTTCTTTCTTTCTTTCAACACACCGGCCATATCCCACCGAGGCAGGGTGGCCCAAAAGGAAAAACGAAAGTTTTTCCTTTTACATTTAGTAATATATACAGGAGAAGGGGTTACTAACCCATTGCTCCCGGCATTTTAGTCGCCTCTTGCAACATGCATGGCTTACGGAGGAAGAATTCTGTTCCACTTCCCCATGGAGGTAAGAGGAAATAAACAAGAACAAGAACTAGAAAGAAAATAGAAGAAAACCCAAAGGGGTGTGTATATATATGCTTGTACATGTATGTGTAGTGTGACCTAAGTGTAAGTAGAAGCAGCAAGATGTACCTGAAATCTTGCATGTGTATGAGACAGAAAAAAAAAGACACCAGCAATCCTACCATTGTGTAGAACAATTACAGGCTTCAGTTTTACACTCACTTGGCAGGACGGTAGTATCTCCCTGGGCGGTTGTTGTCTACCAACCTACTACCTAGGTATAACATATTTGTCAGTTGCAAATTATTTTAGCGTAAGGTTGATGAAGTCATACGTCTGGCGGTGAGCATCTGGGAGGACTGCAGCTCTGCAACTCCTATGGACGAGCTGCCACTTCATAGCAGTATGTGTAGAGAACCTAGGATAACTCAAAAATGTCAGACAAAGTGACTTATTTTCAGCATAGGTGCTGGGGAAAGCAGTGTGGGTGGTGGGGAAGGCAGCTTGGGTGGTGGGGAATGAGGCTTGAGTGGTGGGGAAGGCAGCTTGGGTGGTGAGGAAGGCAGCTTGGATGGCAGGGAAGGCAGCTTGGATGGTGGGGAAGGCAGCTTGGGTGGTGGGGAAGGCAGCTTGGATGGTGGGGAAGATAGTGTGGGTGGTTGGGAAGACGGTGTGTAGGTAAGTAAGTTTATTCAGGTATACACGAATACAGTTACACAGATTATCATACATAGCAGCATATGCGTAGAGAACCTAGGATAACCCAAAAAAGTCAGACAAAGTGGCTAATTTCCAGCATGGGTGGTGGGGAAGGCAGCGTGGGTTTGTGTAAACAAGTTTTGTAAACAGTATAATGATAATGTTTGTGCAGTTGTTGTGTTGCATACGAGTGGATATATATACATTGTGCATTATATTGGTCTCACAGGCCACAAAGTTACTTGAAAAAAATAAAATATTAGAGAAGAAAAGAAAAAATAGAATAAATGTAAAAATAATATTACCGTCGACTGGCAGTCGCCGGTCACTCTTGACAGTGAAAGGGTTACCCCTTTCAGGGTCCAGAGGCCAAATTTCAGTGTGCACACCAGGGTCCAAGAATTTTCAAAAATTAATTTTGTTACTTTTTCTTACGAAATGGTAGAGAATCTTTTTCTGAAGGTAATAAAACAAAAAGTATGAAATTTGATGGAAAATTGATGAAATTATGCTCTCGTGAATTTTGATGTGTCAGTGATATTTACACATTGGCGATTTTGCCGACTTTGACTCCCATTTTAGGCCAATTACATTATTCCAGTTGACCAAATTCTTAGCTATTTCACTAGTATTACTTCTATTCTGTTGATTGAGCACAAGAAATCGCCAAGTCAACTGTTTCAACTACAAAATAAAGTGATTGGAAATTGGTAATTTGGCCAATTTAATGCGAAGTTCAAAATACAGTGGACCCCCGCATAACGATTACCTCCGAATGTGACCAATTATGTAAGTGTATTTATGTAAGTGCGTTTGTACGTGTATGTTTGGGGGTCTGAAATGGACTAATCTACTTCACAATATTTCTTATGGGAACAAATTCGGTCAGTACTGGCACCTGAACATACTTCTGGAGTGAAAAAATATCGTTAACCGGGGGTCCACTGTACTGTATTCCAATTTCAGAATAGGGTCCAGAATAAACAATGCAGGCATTCCTGGTACTAAACTAACATTTCCTCTGTTCATTTGTTGCATTTTCAGGCTTTACAAATGAGTTCCATTTTGATTTTAATTCACATAATGAATTTTTATTCAAACCAAAAAATGGAAGATTTACTGTCATGCAATATCGTAATAATTGTATAAATAATATCAGCACATTTGTGAACATATATTAGACCCACCAGTTGGCGTGTATTAGATGTGTGAGGTCATTTGTTTACTTTTGAACATCGACAAAAAATTAACATTTCTGCTACTCTGAGCTCAATTTCAAGCCATTTTCAGTACTAAAACCAATCAAAATCATCTCTATTTTTGTAATATATCTTCCATTCTATCAAATGAGACCAAGAAATCGCAAATACAACTATAAAAAACATACAAAAAACACTGCAAAGTCGCTGTTTTAATCGAAAATTACGGTCTCAGTTTTTTTCTCTCATTATGCACTGTGTGCTGCAGGATTTGTTATATCTGGTGCACACATACCACATAGATGTATTCTCTCATATCTAGGCCCAAATTTACCGCTCACAGCTTATCAGAGTGAACTGAGCTCATGGGGTAGATCTACGGTTTGTACCCTCAACGTAAAGCCGTAGATCTATGGCACGGTCCCTGAAAGGGTTAATCAGGACGAATGGGTATATCAGTGCCCTAATGCACAACACTGCCCCGCACTGCCAGACATGTGCAAACTGTTTGTTATTTTGTTGGCTGGCAATTTAAGTTAACTATATGTAAACAAATTTATTAGTTAACCTAAACTTGACCTGTCCTATTAGCAAATAATTAAGTTTCAAAATTCCATATGCAGGGTAGAAATACACAAACTGCAGTGTATACAACTATTACAATCATATTTGAAGGGCAAATTGCCCTTGGATGATGCCATTTTATGGTAAATACTATTTTTCCTATATTTTTTATTTTTATTTTCTACAATTGAGTAAGCATGAAGCCTTACTTATAGCAAATTAAAGAGGTTTCCTTGCACAGTATTTTTTTCACTTGTCTACACTGATGTTTTATAATTATGCTTCCTGACAGTCAACTGATGTGAGTTTTTTTTTTCATGTAACAAATTGTGTGATTGTATCTATTTATATGGAATTCTGTAACTAAGAATGGAGGAGTGCTGCACTAGTACTGGTTGATAGTTGGCAAATCCCACTCACATCCAGCCACTCCCACTCATATATTTGTCCAACCCATTCTGAACCTTCATTCTCTCCCTGCAAAATAGGAAAAAATGGGGTTAGCAAGTGTATGAAGCAAGCAGTCTGACTAGTTTTGTTTTGCAGGGCGATGCTGGTGATGTTTCCTTCAGTGGTGTTGTCTGGGGAGATTTTGACATCCATACAACAAACATTGTTGAAACTGATGTTATCACAGCCAGCAATTCAATCTGTGTGGTCACAGCTGAAGGAGATGTCATCACAGTCAACAAAGACACACAGGAGGTAAGTTTTTTTTTTTATAAATACAGTAGACCGTCGATTAAGACAGTTTCCTTCAAAATGTTTTCTCCATTACACTTGTCACATTATGGCATATTTTCATTTTACACTTGGTAAAATTCAATTTAAACAGTTTGCTTCACGATAGGGGACAGCTGGGATTTTCCCTTGTGTAATGAACACTAGGCAGTCTGCCTGTGGGTGAGGCCATTATCTTTTACGGGGGAGGCCTTAGTTTCCTACCCTGCTACCTCCGTACCAGTGCTCTGTACATACACGTCCAGTACAGTACCCAGCACTGTCTATGAATCGGGTTTTGGTCTTTGCATTACAATACATTGCATCTGCCAAGGAACCATAGCACCCAGGAGGCATACAATTGATGCAGGGAGTGGCAAGACAAAGTGAAAAAAAGTTCAGGTGTTGGAGTTATGAGGAAAATTGAGATATTAGATAAGCTTAAATGTGATGCATGTGTGGTGGATATGGCGAGAGCTTATGGCCTTAATGAAGCATTGGTTCATATGATTAAAAAGAGTGAAGCAAATATATGGGCTTGTGCAATGAATAACCCAGGCTGTTGTCTGATTTACTGACTTGACTGACCTACTGACTTGGTTGATTTACTGAATGGCTGACTGACTGACCTGATTTATGACTGACCTGATTTGCTGACTTGACTGATTTACTGAATGACTGACTTACTGACTGACCTGATTTTCTGAATGACTTGACTGATTTACTGAATGACTGACCTGATTTACTGAATGACTTGATTGATACACTGACTGCTTACTACTTGACTGATTTACTGACTTGACTAACTTACTGATGGCTTATTAACTTGACTGACTGACTTAACTGATTTACTGAATGAGTTGACTGACTTGAATGACTGTACAAACTTGACTGGCCTGACTTGACTGGCCTGACTTACTGACTGGACTACCATCCACCTCAACCCAGATGGGCCTCAACATGCCTCTCCACTCCCTCTTTCACAATCATCGACAAACACCAGGAACCACAATTTAACCTGTTAACTGTACAAAAGTAGATCTACATTCTCTTACCCAGTTGACCACCCAGCCAGCTGGCCTGCCAAACACGTATTATAAACGTTCCAGAATTGTTTCTCTCTACTTAGGGCATAGGTTATAGGACGTTCTGGCAGGATGACAGTACCAGCGGTATCAAAATTGAAAGGATGTTGCACATATGTTGCACTTGTGGCCACATCCATCTCAGAGCCACTAAACTCAGGATCAACTTCACTTTCCTCTTAAAAGCAGAGTGTTAATATGATATGACATCAGTGAATCTCTGGTGTTTGACATGCTGTTTGCTCTATCTGGAGTTTATCTGGAGAGAGTTCCGGGGGTCAACGCCCCCGCGGCCCGGTCTGTGACCAGGCCTCCTTAGGTCAGTGTCCCAGGATGCGACCCACACCAGTCGACTAACACCCAGGTACCCATTTTACTGATGGGGAACATAGACAACAGGTGGAAAGAAACACGTCCAATGTTTCTACTCTGGCTGGGAATCGAACCCAGGCCCTCACCGTGTGAAGCGAGAGCGTTAACCACCAGGCCACCAGGCACTCAGTTGAACTGATGCTTCCACAAGGTACTAAGTGGTCCCAGATTTTTTTAATACTGTGTACACCGAGTATTAAGATCCATTCTATACTGACTAGGCATTTCAGGCCAGTTGTACGAAATTTGGAGGCAGGAAAAACAAAACGATCTACGTTTTGGAGTGCTAACGGTAAGAACGCTTTCTACATTTGTACAGTAAAGGGCTAAGGTAATAAATATTATTTCTGTTGCATTTGTAGCCTTAAACAGCAGAAAAGAATACATAATGACAATGAACAACAATTACATTATCATTTTTATTTGTGTAGGATTTGGAGACCTAAAAAAAAGTTGTTTGGCTTTTTTTTTGGGTCCCAGTAAACGTAACCCTACTTTTCCCATTAGTTCTTCAGTTCCTTTAACACGGATTCGTCTAGCACTGCATTTTTCAGGAACATAACTACCATCTTAATCAAAGGTCTACTGTATAAAGATTATTTATGTGATATTGAACTGTAATTACATAAATATTTGGAGCTTGCCTTTTACTGTGACTGTGAAAAAGTACAAACTTGGCCTACTCTCTATAAAATTGTCTTATATATGTACACAGTTAGGGCTCGATTACTGCAAGTTCAAATAGTGCAAAATTTTAATATAGTGCAAAAATAATTAATGCTGGTTTTTCTTCCCACAAACTCTTCCGATTGTGTGCAAAAATTACATGTAATTCAAATAGTGTGAATTTCAATAATCAGAGCATTTAAACCATACCACAGATGGGGATAGAACCCGCGATCAGAGAGTATCAAAACTCCAGACCGCAACGTTAGCCACTGGACAAGTTAGCCACAATAAGATTCATCCAACTAGGTATATTTCTACTCCATAGGAAGGTTAGCATAGGTACCACTGTGACCACAAATGCAAGTTCTTACAGACGAATCTCCAGCTGGTGTGGCTGTGACGAACTCTAGCTCAAGTCCCCTCAAAGCCGTCAACATGACTCACGAAATCGTAATGACACGATTGCAAACAAACCATACCAAGGACGGGGTAGAACCCGCGATCAGAGAGTCTCCTTTCATTTTACCTACTGCCTCACGAACTTCCCCCACACTCACAGCTGGCTCTTCCTCACTCCTACAAGATGTTATTCCTCCTTGCCCTATACACGAAATCACGGCTTCCCTATCTTCATCAACATTTAACAATTCCTCAAAATATTCCCTCCATCTTCCCAATACCTCTAACTCTCCATTTAATAACTCTCCTCTCCTATTTTTAACTGACAAATCCATTTGTTCTCTAGGCTTCCTTAACTTGTTAATCTCACTCCAAAACTTTTTTCTTATTTTCAACAAAATTTGTTGATCACATCTCACCCACTCTCTCATTTGGTCTCTTTTTACATTGCTTCACCACTCTCTTAACCTCTCTCTTTTTCTCCATATACTCTTCCCTCCTTGCATTGCTTCTACTTTGTAAAAACTTCTCATATGCTAACTTTTTCTCCCTTACTACTCTCTTTACATCATCATTCCACAATCGTCCTCTTCCCTCCTGCACCCACTTTCCTGTAACCACAAACTTCTGCTGAACACGCTAACACTACATTTTTAAACCTACCCATACCTCTTTGACCCCATTGCCTATGCTTCATTAGCCCATCTATCCTCCAATAGCTGTTTATATCTTACCCTAACTGCCTCCTTTTTTTAGTGTATAAACCTTCACTCTCTCTTCCCTGATGCTTCTATTCTCCTTGTATCCATCTACCTTTTACTCTTAGTGTAGCTACAACTAGAAAGTGATCTGATATATCTGTGGCCCCTCTATAAACATGTACATCCTGAAGTCTACTCAACAGTCTTTTATCTACCAATACATAATCCAACAAATACTGTCATTTCGCCCTACATCATATCTTGTATACTTATTTATCCTCTTTTCTTTAAAATATGTATTTCTATAACAAAAACCCTTTCTATACAAAGTTCAATCAAAGGGCTCCCATTATCATTTACACCTGGCACCCCAAACTTACCTACCACACCCTCTCTAAAAGTTTCTCCTACTTTAGCATTCAGATCCCCCACCACAATTACTCTCTCACTTGGTTCAAAGGCTCCTATACATTCACTTAACATCTCCCAAAATCTCTCTCTCTCCTCTACATTCCTCTCTTCTCCAGGTGCATACACACTTATTATGACCCACTTTTCGCATCCAACCTTTACTTTAATCCACATAATTCTTGAATTTACTCATTCATATTCTCTTTTCTCCTTCCATAACTGATCCATCAACATTACTGCTACCCCTTCCTTTGCTCTAACTCTCTCAGATACTCCAGATTTAATCCCATTTATTTCCCCCCACCGAAACTCCCCTACCCCCTTCAGCTTTGTTTTGCTTAGGGCCAGGACATCCAACTTCTTTTCATTCATAACATCAGCAATCATCTGTTTCTGGTCATCCGCACTACATCCACGCACATTCAAGCATCCCAGTTTTATAAAGTTTTTCTTTTTCTCTTTTTTAGTAAATGTCTACAGGAGAAGGGGTTACTAGCCCATTGCTCCCGGCATTTTAGTCGCCTCATACGACACGCATGGCTTTCAGAGGAAAGATTCTTTTCCACTTCCCCATGGACAATAAAAGAAATAAAGAAAAACAAGAGCTATTTAGAAAAAGGAGAAAAACCTAGATGTATGTATATATATATGCATGTGCATGTCTGTGAAGTGTGACCAAAGTGTAAGTAGGAGTAGCAAGATATCCCTGTTATCTAGCATGTTTATGAGACAGAAAAAAACCCAGCAATCCTACCATCATGCAAAACAGTTACAGGTTTCTGTTTCACAGTCATCTGGCAGGACGGTAGTACTTCCCTGGGTGGTTGCTATCTACCAACCTACTACCTATAGTAGGTTAGTGTTTGCAATAAAGCTAGCAGAATTCTTGGCTTCATATCTAGAAGTATATATAATAGAATTCCTCAGGTTGTTCTTCAACTCTATATATCCTTGGTTAGGCCTCATTTAGACTATGCTGCTCAGTTCTGATCACCGTATTACAGAATGGATATAAATGCTCTGGAAAACGTACAGAGGAGGATGACAAAGATGATCCCATGTATCAGAAATCTTCCCTATGAGGATAGACTGAGGGCCCTGAATCTGCACTCTCTTGAAAGGCATAGAATTATGGGGAATATGATCGAGGTGCATAAATGGAAAACAGGAATAAATAAAGGGGATGTAAATAGCGTGCTGAAAATTTCCGGCCAAGACAGGACTCGCAGCAATGGTTTCAAGTTGGAAAAATTCAGATTCGGGAAGGATATAGGAAAGCACTGGTTTGGTAATAGAGTTGTGGATGAGTGGAACAAACTCCCAAGTACAGTTATTCAGGCTAAAACAT